GAGAGAGAGAGAGAGAGAGAGAGAGAGAGGGGAGGAGAGAGAGAAACACAAAATCCCACAATAAATCTACCACAGGTTTCTGCCACAGGGCTGTCTGTCTGCCTGTTTCAGCCTCACACCCCCGGGCTTTTGCATCCTCCTTGTTGCTGTCTGAAGGGCAATGGCACGGGGCACGGTGGGGAGGGTCCCCTGGCTTCCGGAACTTGGCTTCCGTCGGACTCTGGCCCAAGAAGGCATCTGCTGGGCTGCTCACGAGGGGACCCTGGCCTGGGCTCACCCTCACCCTCACCCTCACATCAGTATCTGTTTCCTGACTGCCCACCCCCTCAGGATCAGCTTGGCCGGCTCAGGGCCCTCCGAGGTGCAGGCAGCCATGGGACAGCAGATACAGCTCTTCTGTCCCGCTGACGTCTCCCGGGAATCCCAGGCTGGCTGGCAGAAAGATGGCCAGCCCATCTCTTCTGACAGGTACGGGTTACAGTTACAAATCTGTCTCTGGCGTGAGTCTTCCCTGACAGCAGCCCCTCTGACCTCCCCCGGAGCGTGAGTGGGCTCGAGAGCGCTGTCTCCCCTCCTTCCGGGTCAGGCACCAGCTGCAGTCTGACGGCTCCCTGGTCATCGGCCCCCTTCGGGCAGAGGATGCTGGCGTCTATAGCTGTGGCGGCAACAGGCCAGGCCGTGACCCTCAGAGGATCCAGCTTCGAGTCACAGGTCCCTGTTCCCACCGTGTCCCTACCTGGGGTCACCTGGACCCCAGAATGGGAAGGACTGGATGGAAGAGTCTGGGCCACCCCTACACAACCCTTGAGGGACCCTAATTTCTCCACAAGTCCCCGCTGGCCTCATGGTCAACCCTTCCTTCCAGTACCATCTCGTATAACTCACACTTGGCTTTTCCTGACCTCGTGACAGGGGGTGACTTAGCAGTGCCATCTGAGAGTGAGCCAAGGCACTTCCCTCGGACCAGGGACCCAGCCCGAGGCCAAGGGGAAGGTACAGGAGTCCCCTCTTCACAGCCACGACCTGCAACTAGGTAACAGCTCAGCCGTGCCGTCCCGTCCACAGGGTTCAGTCTGCGGGTGAGAGAAGGGGTCTGCTGTGACAGGCTTTCCTGGGCTCTGATCGTGACTCCCTGAGGGGAGCCCCTCACCCCTAAGCATCTGAGAAGGGAAGGGTGCCCAGAGCTGGCCTTGAGGATCAGCTGTTTACAGAGGGGTCCTAAGTCAAGGGCCTGGTGAGAAAGTTGGGGTAGCTTTCGGGCTTTCCCTCCCATCAGGGATGTTGTCCTAAGCAGAACAAAGGGGTGTCTTTAGGACGCTGACTCTGTAGCGATAAAGGGCGGCGGCAGTGAGAGCCCCTCAAGGTTCTGGGATTGTCTTGCAGGCTGCGTCTGGACCACACCCAGCCTGGGGTGGTGGACACCAACCCGGGCCAGCAGGTCCGGCTGAGCTGCCGGGCTGAAGGTTTCCCATCCCCGGTCATCCAGTGGCAGAGAGACGGACAGCCCGTCGCCTCCCCCAGGTCGGTCCAGCACCTTTTCCTCTGCTTGTCCACCCCTGGTCCTACCACCTCCCTTGGTGGCCTGGAGAGATGGATCTAGGGCACAGGGCTCAGGGTGTGGGGCGGTGGTCCCCGGGTCTTTGCTGAGGCTGGCAGGTGATGGGTCTGAACAGTTCTGGCTGACTGTGCACCGAACGTGAGGTTGCTTCTGTGTTATATAATCTGTGAAGCAGCCACATTGAGGCAGGAGCTCCTCTTTCCTCATTTTATACATAGGAGCTTAGCACTGCAACCTCATAGGTGGTAGTCCCGGGATTTAAACTTTATGACAACAACTAGAAACCAGATTTTTTTTCTGGTATTGGGAATTTAATCTTGATCCTTCACACTGAGCTATATTCCCATCCCTTTTTAATTTGAGATAGGGTCTCAATAAGTTGCTAAGTTGCCCAGGCTGAGCTTTAACTTGAGATCCTCCTGCCTCAGCCTCCCAGGGTGCTGGCATTACAAGTCTGTACCACCATGCCCAGCTGAAACCAGAATTACTTTTTATTGGAAAATTTGATATACACTGAGATTATATCTTACTCCATAAAGAATGGCTATCACCAAATGCTGGCCAGGTTGTATGAGAAAAAGGAAACTTTCACCAACAATGTAGAAAGTGTAACCTAATATAGCCATTATGGAAATTAGTCTGGAGATTCCTCAAAATACTAAAAGTAGACATCCACTTTACCCCCAGCTGTTCCCCTTTTAGGTATCTTCCCAAAAGAGTTAAAGACATCACATTATAAGGATACATGCACACCCATGTTTATAGTAGCACAACTCAAGATAGCTAAACCATGGCAGTAGCCTGTATGCCCATCAACAGATAAATGGGTAAAGAAAATGTGTGTATATACAAAAAAATATAAAGAATAATGGAATAATAATAAATCTGAGAAATCTGTAGGAAAATGAACAAAGGTAAGTGAAATAAATCTGACGCGGAAGATTAAATACTGCATGGTTTTTCTTATCTGAGAAACCCAAAGTAAAAATAACTGAAAGAACAAAATAAAAAAGGTAATAGGAAATGATACAATTTATTCATTGTTAGGCTTAAAAGCCACACATTTTCCAGTAAATTAGAGTGCAGGTAGCGTGAGGGTGTGAGGGCCCGAGGGCCCACAGTAGCAGGCTGCTCAGCCTCATCCCTGTCTCCCTACGGCTCTCATGGCTTGTGGCCCCTCGCAGCTGGAGCCAATTATTAACTGCTTTGTCCCCAGACACCAGGTGCAGCCAGATGGTTCTTTGGTCATCAGCCGAGTGGCTGTAGAAGACGGTGGCTTCTACGCCTGTGTCGCTTTCAATGGGCAGTACCAAGACCAGCGCTGGGTCCAGCTCAGAGTTCTGGGTAAGGTGGGAGTGTGGAGTGGGGCCGAATGGTAAGGAGGTGGGAGTCTGTGCCCGGGCTGACAGTGCTTCCTCTCTGTGTTCAGGAGAGCTGACAATCACAGGGTTGCCGCCGAGTATGACAGTGTCAGAGGGTGACACTGCCAGGCTGTCTTGCGTGGTGGGAGATGCAAGTGCGAACATCAGATGGTCCAGGTAAAGATCTCTTCCCCACATTGAGAGCCTGTTTTGGGGACTTCAGTAGCTTTTAGTTCTAGATTAGTTGGTCTTGTGCTCATTTGTTCATTCAGCATTTTTGCCCCTCCTTTCCTGGAATGTGTCAGGATGAGGTTAGGTCCTGGGCATCCTTGGGGTCCCTGGCTCCCAGGAGCTCCAGACCAGCCCTGCCCTGAACACTGTCTGCCTGGAGGGTGAGGCCGCTTTGGTCCAGGAGGGCCTAGGGAGGGGAATCCAGGGGCAGTGGCTTTGGCTGGACTTAAAGGATGTTCTTGCGGGGAAAGCGGCAAGGCCGAAGGTGGTGTTTTGGAGGACGCTGGGATGGGAATGTGCTGCAGGCTCTGGGAGAGGTGAAGGGGCTGTAGCAGTCAGCTGCCTTGGCAACCAAAGCCTCAGGGATTACACTGTCTGCCCCGCACCCTTAGCACGGCCGTTCACCTGGGTTGTCTCTGCCTGGTCACTGTCTGCCTTGCATCCCTACCCCACTCAGGGACACTGCCCTGGCTGAGGCTGTCAACCGCTTCCCTGCTGCTAACCCCAAGGATACCCTCGGTCCTCACAGGACCTGTAGGCTTCCTCTGCTGGCCCTTTCTTCTCCTGGAAATGCTCACTTCCCTCGCGAGGGTTCAGGAAACTGCTGTCCTTGGTAGTCCAGGTGGCTTCAACTCAGACAGCCACAGTTGCACGAGCTTCCTGGGGTGCCTTGTGCTGATACGTAGATGGGTTTGGACTCTCTTGGGTCCCAGTCCTTGAAATCAGTGTTACTGGTATCTCACAAAGACCCTGGATTCCAAATGGCAGAGCCTAACCTCACCCCAGCCTGGGGAATTTCCAGGTTGGAGGGAAGCCACCCCTCAGTAACCGAGGCCAATTGCGTCCTCTCCACCTCCCACATCCGACCTTCACCTGAGTCCCTTTATCTCACTGCCCATGCCATCTGCCCCATGTGTGCCGAGGGAGCAGCCACTCCATGCTGCCCGCCTGAACTTCCTCGCTCCCACTCCTGAGTCCCCCACAGCCTCCCACATAGTTGGTCAGATGCCAGCGGGCTGTCAGGTCAGGTCAGGTCAGGGAAAGCTCCCCGCACACCTGTGCCCTCAGTCTGTGCCCAGAGGCGGCAGGTGCTCAGCAGCACGGTTGGCTCCCGATGCAGGGCCCCATTCACGCTGGCTCTGTGTGCTTACCTCACTTGTGCTTTGCTCAATGTTCCCCCTTCCTTGGGTCATCTCTCTGCCCTCAGGAGAGGGAGGTTGGCTCTGGAATGGCCTTTGATGACCTCCTCCGTTGGTGTCCCAGGCCTCATAGGGCCTGAAGACCAGGGGTGCTAGGTGACGCCCCGCCATCCTCTCTCCCCGCAGGAATGGGGTACCAGTGCAGGCTGATGGTCACCGAGTGCACCAGTCCCCGGATGGCACACTGCTCATCCACAACCTGCGGGCCCAGGATGAAGGCTCCTACACCTGCAGTGCCTACCGTGGGAGCCAGGCGGTCAGCCGCAGCACCGAGGTGAAGGTGGCCGTGCCAGGTGAGTGTCTGGGGTGCGTTCCCAGGGCATTTCCTTCTCCTTGGGGGCTGGCCGTGAGCTGTGGAAGATGGAGGCTCAGCAGTCTGAGGGGCTTGAGTTTAAATCCTGGCTCACTGGTTGTGACTCAGGGCAAGGCACTTCATCTTAGGGCCTCGCTCTACACTGTGGAGTGGGGCTGCCCCGCGATCCGAGGCTGAGGTAGAGGCAAGGGAGCTGCCTGTTGGGCCTGGTCATGGCCTCACAGATGATCAGCACTGTTAAAAAATATAACTGGCTCACATTCCATTATAATACGGCAAAAAAGACCACTCAAATCTGTCCATTCTAATCAGGGTGGCAAAAAGTGGTACTAAAAAGTGCCTCTGTGACCCTGAGACTCCTTAACCCACAAAGGACATGAGACAGGAGCCCAGAGAGCTCCCCGTGTTTCCATCAGTCACATAGCAGATTAGTAGGCCAGCTGGGCCTGGAACCCAGATCTTTCAACTCCTCAGTTATTTATGCATTTTCACTAAACTATCACACTTACAGTGGAACTATATTATTCAGTAATTTGATTTTTAAGCCTTATATAGTCCAGCTCCTGCTGTTGGTGAGTTATATTTTAACAAATCAAAGTACTGTATTATAGGATACTACCATTATGGGAAAATGCTGCCAATTAAATGACACCATCTACTAAGATGCAGATAAATCTGAGAGTGAAAAGTGCATTTAGAATTGGCGATTTAACATTCTTACTCACTAGAGCCGTGTTCATAGAAAGTGGAGGGCACTGCCATCCTCTCTCTCAGTCCTTGGTCCAAGTTCACTGAGGTATGAGTAGCTGGGCAGTGCCCTGGGCCAACCAGCTGGTTCTTACAGAAGAGATGCAGCCTTGGGGAGAGCAGTGGGCTTGGAGGTCCTGGGCCCTTTCTGTTCTGCTTTCTACCTGGCCATTCCTGCCATCGGAAGTGTCTCCTGGCCAGCTTAGGGAAACTGGCCAATGCTAGCAACTGCAGGCCTGACTAAAAGGTGGCTTTGTGAATGGGCTTAGGCAGTGGCTAGGTGAATGTGCACAGGTAAGTGATGGTGCTGTCCCGGTGGAAGCACCACCTTGCAGGGTCTTATTTTCACTGCTATAGCGTCCAGATAATCTCTTTTGTGCACATACTACCTGCCCTTGAGGACCACTCACTCAGGTTGTGATTAGCTATAGATGTGCCTGCCTAGGAAATCAGACTATCAGAAACTTGTTTGGGGATGGGTTGGTTGGGCTCTTGTCCAGGCGTGGTCTCCTAGGCCCAAGGGATCTGACCTGCACCTGAATACCAGACAGGACACTGCCTCAGTCCTTCTCCCGCCCTCTGCTGGTTGAATGGTGCTAGTTCTAGATAGCCTGTGGCCAGGAAAGGTATCCCCAAAATATCTAAGGATCAGATGGCAAGTGTCTGCTCTCACTGGTTTTTCAAGGATCACAAAGTATGAGGTTGCTTGATGCTGCCCGCTTCATGACTGGTGGGCACCTGGCATTACAATGGTGACATAGGGCTTGTCATGCTCTGTGGCAAGGGACATGGTTCAACTGTGAGGATGCCTTGATCATTTGGTTAAGAGTGGAGCGAGAAGCCAGGCGTGATGGTGCAGTCTTGTAATACCAGCACTTGGGAGGCTGAGGTGGGAGGGTCCCCCATGAGTTAAAGGCTAGCCTGGTCTACATATTAAGACGCTGCCTTAAAAAAAAAAAAGGCAGAAAATACTTCAGGGATGAAGGATAGGCTGTCACTTATTTTCTACACGAGAAGGAACTCTGTGCAGAGAAAGCTCAAACTCTCCTGCCTTACATAGTGGCCACACAGCAAGAGAATAGTGATGGCAGGTAAGGCAGGGATAGGATGACTGGGGCTGGCATTTCTGATCTCTAGTTTTCAAGGGAGACTGTTTTGGGGAAAGAGGAAGTAGGTGACAAGGGTACTGATCACCTTGCTGAGTGGAAACCATGACAGGTCCGGTGCTACAAGAACCTGATAAAATTGATATCAAAATTACAGGTTTTTAAAAATGATGGCTTTTCCATTTATATGAACGGCATTAGTCCTGGTCATGCTGGTAGACCAGACCTGTCTTAAGGCTACTCTCTGGTTAGGTTTGGTCTTTTCATGGTAACCTCTGAGGAACAAGGATGAAGGGCTTTCCCAGCCCTGTGGAGCCTGGCTTTAGGGAAGAAAATGCGTACCCTAAGCCTGGAATTGCTGTTGCAGAAAGAAGAGATGTTAGCTCAGCACGGCAGCACAGCACAGCTCCCAAGGAGGTAGAGGGGAACCCACAAGGGCTTTGTTCTCCGTGTACTGTTAACACTAAAAAGTGAAATACAGCCCTAGATATATGCTATTGTGTATCTATAAAAAAACCCTGCAGACATGTGTCCGATCCACTTAGGGCTGATCCGCTCTTCAGCCCTCAACAGTGAGGGTAGGAAGAGAACTTGGAGAGAGAAGTGTTTATCCATCTAGTCAGTAAATAGGTGGGAGTCCAAGAAGAGATGTGCCCTGGGCTGAGGCCACAAATACGAGTAGCAAGAGAACCACCGAATGCTCGGGGAAGGCCAGGATGTGGTGGAAACCCTCCTCCTGCTTGTACAGGCGGCAGGTAAGACTGTCACACACTGGGCTGCCTCACCCCTCTCTTCCCTCTCACCCCTTCTCTTCAGCAGCAACCACCCAGCCCAGGGAAGCTGGTGGTGGGGAGTGCATCGATCAGCCGGAGCTGGCCAACTGTGACTTGATCCTGCAGGCACAGCTCTGTGGCAACGAGTATTACTCCAGCTTCTGCTGCGCCAGCTGTGCCCGCTTCCAGCCCCGTGCTCGGCCTGCCCAGCAGCAGGGATGATGACTGGCTCTCGCTCCAGTTCTGAAAAATTAAGAAGACTCTCCCAGCCAGCAAAGGAATCAACAGACACTGCCCTCGAGAAAGCCACAGCCCCCTCTGCAGTCCTCAGCAGTCTGCATCTCTAACAAAACCCCAGCTGATTCATCCAAAAGAATGCAGCCTTTCCTCTGCAGGGTCCCTTTACAATTTGTGATGAGTTGAGGGTCCCTTCTCTGTAATGTGTGGGACTAGAAGTGTTTCAGATTTTGGAATATTTGCAGACTTGGGTTGAGCATCCCTAATATCCAAAATCCTGAAACACTTCTGTCTCATGTGGGTATGCAAACATTTCTAGGTTTTAGGTTATGTACAAAAAGGATCAGTTAACTTTTTTTTTTTTTTTGAGACAGTCTCGCTATGTAGTTCAGGCCATTCTCGAACTCAAAGCAATTTTCCCGGCTCAGCCTCCTGCGTGCTGGGATTATAGATGTGCACCACCACCACCAGCTAGTTTGCTGAATTTTAAAGCAGGCTGTCAGGGCTCACTTCATTTATAGCTGACTGGAGAGGTGGTAACACCTGCCTTACAAGGGTACTGGCAACTCCTCCTATCGTGTCAGCAATACTGTCTAGCAGTTCTGTGCTAGAACCACTTCACCTGGGGCCTGTGGTTCACTGCTCAGGTCTCTCACCTCCCTAGGCAGGAAATCCCATTGGTGCATAGAGTTAGCAGCATCAAGCTTGTGAAAACTCTCACCAAGGTGGACTGTAGGCCTCACAGGGTGTTGAGATGAAAGAGTCATAGTTAGCACTGTCATCTGAGCATTGAAGGCCTGGAAAAGCTGCGCCTGGAGCCTTCTGAAGCTGAGGCCGACACAGACAGCTGGCTGGCCTGGCCTGAAGAGACGAGGAACCTCTTCCTTAAGTAGGAATATGTAAAGCCAGAGGGTTTCTGCTAGAGAGAAAGCAGACTTACAAATGCCATTAGTGGAACGAGAAACTAGTCTGTGTAGGAGGTGGGAACAGTGAGCTAACAGGGAAGTGGTTTCAGAAACGGTGTAACCTGCAGGAAGGAATCATCTTCAGGACTTCTGCTTCCTCATCACTGAAACAAGAGGCCCAAGTTCAATGAGCTTCTCTGTCCCTTTCCATTTTAGCTTTCTCCAGCTCTTGAGAGGTCTGTCTAGTAACAAAGGTTATTGCACATGGGAAATAACAGCTGCAAAAGAGGAATGGTATCACAAGGAGCGATACTGCTCAGTCTGCCCCTCGGTCAAAAGAAACATGGGTCACAGTAGAGATGATTTGTCCCTATTTATACACTGAGAAGCATCCCTTTCCATTTACCATGGCTGGTTTTGTTTATACACATTGGAAAGAGCTGCTTTCTTGGACCCCGAGTTTAATGAAACTATTGGCACACACCTCAGAAGGTACAGCTAAGATTAGCTCTTTGCAGCTAGCCCTTCTTCAAACTAGTCACAGTAAGTTTAAGGTGAGGGCTATTCACTCTAGACCAGCAATTCTCAACCTTCTTCTACACTGGAAACTTAACCAAACTGGGCCTGTGTTCCCACCCTCTTCCCTCAAACCCACAAAATTCTGATTTATTGGCCTCAAGTATAGGCTGGGCATTAGGAGTTTTTGCTATTTTTCTGGGTGGGGCGGAGCTTATGCACACTAAAGTGCTTGTTCTATTACTGAACTACACACACAGCCCTGAGGATTAGGATTTTAAAAATTGAAATGACTCTCACACAGCCAAGTTGAGGGGATAGTGACAGTCGTGGGTAGGGCTATGAGGCCGCCTTTGCATCCAGCTCCTAGGTGAGATCCATGCTGCTATTCCAGGCCCCACTTTGAGCAGCAAGCATTTGACTTTAGGCTTTGGTTGCTCCTGAATACACCTCTATAAATAAAAACATGAATTTTAAGGATATAACAGTCACACACACTTTCTAGCCACTAAACTAGCAGAGACAGAATAAGCCTTTAAACTTGTAAGAGGAAAGAACAGCCCTTCATGGACAAAAGCTTCTACTATGAACATTTATTTTTGTTAAAGCAGATTATAAATTCTCATCAGTACAAATATATATATAACTTACATCTGATTGTAAGGCCAACATTCAAAAGTAAAAATGAGATGGGATCTCATGTTACCCGAGGTCAAGTGGCTGCAACTGGCAATGGGATAGATAGTCTTACCAAGGGGGTGGGGGGTGGGGACACAAAGCTCATAAAACCAGGGTCTGCATCCCCACAAAATGTGGGGACAAAATTTAAAGGACAAGACCCACGCTACAAACCCACACAGTAACCTGCGTTCCCTTCTCTGGAGATGTCACTGTCACCTTAGTGTTAAAGGATTAACAAAAGGAAATTCCAACCATATATAAAAGAATATTCTCTAGAGGATAGATCAATTCCATTAAAATACATTAGAATTTCAGAGGTTTAAATCCAGGACAATACTGCTTTCATTTTTTTAAAAACTACAACCTAGTGATTGTTGGTCATAAGCATGATTGTTGTTGCAAAGTATACTTACAATGACGGCAAACAAGCTAGGGATCACGCCTGCAACGTCCACCCCTTTTTACTTCAATAGGCATCAATGATAGATCAATCTTATGTACAACTTCTTACAAATAACCTTTTTACTTTTGGCAAGATTACTTACAACTTTTTAATATTGAGAACTATTTAAAATATTCTAAATGCATAAAAATAAAGATTTTGGCTTTTGATATATATCTATATTTATTGTTACTCAAAATGGAAGCTGTTTTCATACCCCCAAATAGCGCTGCTGGGCAGTTGCTTCTGTGCCTTCCAGGAAGCACAGCCTGCCTCCCCTCCCAGTCTGAGTCCAAACCACGCTCTAGGTCATACTGGGAGGAGGCAGGTGAATGGCCTCAAAGATAAAGGGAGTTTTGCTTCCGTTTGTATTTTATATTCCAGTAAATGTGCTTTGAATAGATTCCTGTTCCGATACTTCTGCTTCTCTGTTGCCAGAGATTTGTAAGGGGGAGAGGGAGGAAGGGTACAGAAGACAATATTTCCTTGACTTCTTTAGCCTAGCTGCAAGACAGTATTTGCTAGGAATGACTTTCTCCACTTTCAAAAGTCACCCCTCCCTGCGCTCTGTGCTTGGACTTGTTCCTTGGGACCTTTGGGATTAGTGAAAAGTATACTGATTGGGACGACAAAATCCCCTTTGACCTCCACCCCCTGCCTTTGCCTAAGTACAGACAAGATACATAAGCCATAGAGACTGCTTAAAGTTCAATTTCAAAAGTCTTCTGTAAGTCACTAGAGAAAGGATTGGTAGGGGAGGGGTTAGTACGCTGCTTGGACTTGCTTTCTAATGCAGCCCACTGGGCTTCAAAAGGATCCACTGGGCAGGTGCCTCCAGGAAGCTCTGTGTGCTTGTCTCCTGAGGCCAACCTGCCATCGTCTACACCATTGAAAGCTGCAGAACCATTGAGGTGCTGAGCAGGAGGCTTAAAGAAAGGACTGGTGGTAGCACTACTTGTCTCATAGTTAGGGAATGTCTGCTGCCTGACCAGGCTGGGTGACTGGTGGGGGTGAGCGACCTGAGAGTGACCTGCGGTGCCAAACACGTTGGCTACCATCTGGGATGGGGTGATGCCCACCACAGGCACATTAGGGGCTGTGTAGGGCATCCCATTGGCCACAGGATAGGACTGGGCAGGGACAAAGGCTGGCTGTAGGGGTGGAACCACACCCACCGGCACAGGCTGAGAGGTGAGGAATGCACTTCCCTGGAAAGGCAGTGCTGGCTGGGAGATGGCAGTGGGTGGAGGCGGCTGCAGGACTGGCTGCAGAGGGGCAGCTGAAGTCTGGGGCTGCTGGGCCCGGACGCTCTTGGACACTTCTTCTAGCCAGCGGTCAGCCTCTGAGGGAGTACGTCTATGGCCAGCCTGGAGGAGATCTGGAGAGGATGGGCCCCACTCAGTGCCTGGAACCAGCAAGATGGAGAGAGAGATGAGTTAGTGTCTCCTCCCTCACTTCATAACCTTAGTTATTTGAATGATCCAAACATGTGGAACAAGTTCTCCTAATAGAATGTTCTGTGGCTTTGACAGGTGAGAGGAAAGTATTACATTACCAGCTAAGGAGACTGTGTGGTAGGACAAAGGGAACCTGTCAGACCATGCTGCTGTCTAAGCCATGTCAAGGAGCTGTTTAATATGCCTCCGATGCACTGAACTAAGGCAGCTGGCTGGTGTCAGAAACCCCTCCTTGTCCCCATGGCTCATGCACAGTATGGAAACTATGCATATGCTCCAAAGTGCTCAAGGGCTTCACTCTAACAGGGCAAAAATAAAATAACCAGTGATCTGGCCATACCATGCTGGTCCCTGCCTGGTTTCTAGATGTACAGTGCTTTTCTGGTGAATGATTATGACTATTTTAAAATGTCTTATAGTTACAGAAAAACTAGTAAATACAGAAAAGCACTGCCTTGTGGGAGGCAAGGTTCCTTCTTCCTATAGGCATGTCTGCCCACTGCCAAATCCAAGGATGGATTCCTGAGACGGGGCTCAGGAATTTGTATTTCATAAAAGCTCTTTGGATGGCTCAGTTCTATAGGTCTAAGAACTATCAGTCTGATACTTTTTGTTCTCCTCTTTTACCATCCAGTCCAGGAAGGAACATACTTTTCCTAAAAGGGATTTTTCTCTAGTTCCCACTCAGGTAACTGGATGGTTTTAAAACCAGGGTCATTTATGTGATTCCAGAATCCTCACCACCATCTGTGGCCACCTTACCCGGACGTGTGGCTGCAACTTCCTTGTTAGCAGCATCAGGGGCATGGGCCCAAGGGTTGGTTTCACGCACAGGCATTGCTACGGGTGCTAGAGCAGTATGGGCTGGCTTAGCAGTAAGCACATGGAAGGCTGAGTCAGTGCCATTAGCTACAATGGGAGCAGACAACATCAATGGAGTTAATTCATGCAAGATGCACGAGTGACCTCAAGGAGCTGAGTGAGTCAGGCCAGCAACACTAGTGGAAGAGATAAGACAGAACAATTGATGGTGGGACAACCATGCTATCTTGCAATGGATACACAGACCTTTGGCAAAGAAGGAATCAGGTTATAACTGAAATGACTGTAGTGATAAAGTCAAATGACTGTTTTGGGAAAATATGTGCACAGGTAGAAGGGAACAAAACATTTCAAATTAAGTTGAACAGAGCTGCTCTTATGAGCAGCAAAAAACCTAGGTATTCCAGATATAACTTAGCCTTTGGCTTAACAAAGTAGATAAGGCATTTCTTTTTTCTAACTCTTCCAAAAGTAAAATTATACCAATAACAATAATAATGGTTAAATAATATTTCCTTACTATGTACTGGGTACTAGGCTATGTGCATCATCCCATTTTTTTTGGGGGGGGACCAGGGATCGAACTTGGAACCTTGCACTTGCAAGGCAGGTGGTGGAACCACTGAGCTAAATCCCCAGCCCGTGCATCATCTTATTTAATTCTCTCAAAAACCCCATAAAAGACTGGCATAGTAGGACCACTGGGAGATAAGTTCTCAGACATTCCGCAGATGACTAAAACCTTAGAAAGAACCCAACCCTGTATTTACTAGGTTTTTTCCTATACATTCCTACAATCAAGTTTAAGTTATAAATTGGGCACACTGAGATTAATAATAATGAAAAGAATAACCATAACAATATACTATAATTAAATTGTTTAAAATATATGGATTATTTATTTCTGGAATTTTCTATTTAACATTTTGAGATAGTAGTGGACTATGAGTGACTGTTACCTTGGAAAGGGAAACCATGAATGACAGTGAACTACTATTTACATATTTCCATATAAAAGATGAGAAATCAAATGATACACTTTCATTTGCATAATAAACTTGTAGTTTTATCTTTTTTTATTTTCTCCACTTGCAATGTTCATAATAACTCATCCTCATCTTGCTTTATTAAAATCTCCTAACCCCTTTACTCCAGAAATCTTTCAGTTTCCACTCTTTATCCTTCTATCATATTTAATATGATGCAGACAAGCATCTCCTCCTGCCTTGTAATATAAAACTCTGTTTAGGACTGGACAACCATGCTTATGGTGTTGGTAATACCTACCCAGGTCATCCAAAAAAAAAAAAAAAAAAAAAAAAATCTCCTAACCTTTACTCCAGAAATCTTTCAGTTTCCACTCTTTATCCTTCTATCATATTTAATATGATGCAGACAAGCATCTCCTCCTGCCTTGTAATATAAAACTCTGTTTAGGACTGGACAACCATGCTTATGGTGTGTGGG